GGTTTAGGGGCTTTGGGTTTAGGGCTGATTTCCTTTCCGGGCTCCTTTCTTTCTGGTGTCTTCAAGAGTTTCTGTAAGGGATCCTCTGAGGGATCTAGAGGGTTTAGGGTTATGGGGTGGTGGGGTGACAGGGTTTGGGGTTTCGGGATTGGGTGTAGGTTGGGCCTAGGGTTCCTTTAGGCGTGTCTCCGTTGAGTTAAAGGTTGTATGAGGGATCGTTGTGGGGCTCAGGGGAGGGGTTGTGAGGCTCTCTGTTAGAGATACTACATAAAGATGCTATGAAGCTATAACTGTTCTCAACAGAGGGCTCCAGTCTGGAGGGGAGTTTTAGTAGGCTTTCTTAAGGGCTTCGCCAGAGGTTTAACAACGGCCAATCCTGAAGTTATGAGGAAGTTTTTGTGCATTTCTTAGTTTTTGGCAAGGGTTTCCGTTTAACTAGATCTAGTACTACAAGTAGCACTGCGACGGCTACTACTACTGCTACTGCTACTGCTAATCATACTCCCTTTTTTCATGGTGCCCACCCTACACCCTAAAACCCTCAACCCAAAACCCTAAACCCTAAAATTCTAAACCCTAAAACCCCAAAACCCTAAACCCTAGACCCGAAAACCCTAAAGCCCTAAACCCTAAGACCCGTAAAACCATAAAACCCCAAACCCTAAACCCTAAAACCCTAGACCCCAGCAGCAGCTTGCGATCCTGTCTCAACCTCAAAGAAAGGGTCAACGCTCTCGCGTGGCAGTTGGAAGCCCTGCGTTATCTGCCCCGTGTCACGAAGACCAGTAATGCAGGGGACTTAATAAATAGAATAGGGTTGTGGGCTCCTTTATAATATTTCGTTATTAGTAGTATTATGATTACTATCAGGAATCCTAACATTATATTGGTAATTATTTAGGCTTCTATGGTAGTGTGCAAAGGTCTTCTTTGCCGCGCTTCAGTCAACGCTTTCGTCATAGCTCCGACGAGATTGACCGTGTGTGGCAGGATCAGTTCCAAAGCCCTCGAGGCAGGCGATGCAGGGCGATTAGGTTTAGTGTTCAGGGTTCGTGGTCCTCCTCGCTCTCCAGCAGCTCCGACCGAGCATTGCAAACTTTACAAGCCCGATGGTAAAGCCCCAAACCGTTTCAGGGTTCAAGGGCCAAGGGTCCGGGGATTAAGAGTTTAGAAAGTAGGGTTGTCAGGGCTATGCATCCTTTGTTGGGTGTTATACATACACCTACTGAGTAGGCTGTAGATTACTACACGTAGGGCTCAAAACAATCATCTAGAAGCCTTATCATCGTAAACCCTAAGCCCTATACATTACAGTGACGCCTACTGTGACCTGATAGTAACCCCTAATCCCCACCCTGCTGGTTCAATCGATTCTTCCATCACCTGCACGGTAACAACTATAGAAAACGCGAAGACCAAATTCAATCATCTGTAACATCCCGAAAAACCCTGGAACCTCTAAAAGTCTAAAAGTTTATAAAGACCGTCAAAGATCTCTAAATTAGGGTCTGTGTTAAGGTCCTTTTTAGACGGGTGCCGTACTCTATTTGGGACCTAAACAGAGACCCTAATTTAGAGAACTACCCATCAACGCCTGTCCTCGGCTCAGCGGACTCTGTCGGCGCGACGGAAGCCGAAGCTTCCGCGACGTCTGCAGGGCCTGCACGGCAGCTCTAGTAAAAGTTCCCGGGTCTTCGGGGCTTAGGGGTTTGGGGTTCCGGGTCTATTGGGTATACTAAAATCCTACTGCTTTTAAGGCTGATACTCGATATAATAATGGGGTCCGTGCTGCTGTTAGTTTGGGGGTTTTGCAGATTTTGCAGGACAGCTTTATAGGTCCCTTGACCCTCAGGGCTCAGCGCAAGCTTTCAAAGCAGCCTTATACAGCAGACTTACACTTCGAATACGGTTCCGGGCATGGAAGATGAAGATGAATACGCTGTGTATCACTATCAACACAGAAAGTGTAGGGTCTTCTGCCATTCAGCAGTGTTCTAAGGGTTTGCTCAGGATTTCATAAGGGCATTCCAAGGGTTCACATTGGGATTGAACGTGTCTCATACGGGTTCAGGGGGACTTGCGGACACATGCTTTGCAAACCTGGCCTGCTTCTTCGCCGCGTTTCTTGCGTTCCTGGGTCAGACTTCCACAAGAAGAAGTTACCCGGCCCTGCTGAAGGACCCAAGCACGGAGCCCTTGCAAAGAAGCTTATCTTACTCCCTGGAAGGCGACATGTTTTTGGTATTTGAGGCGCATGATATAGATCCTTCGTAGGTTGCTTCCAGCAGGCGAGCACCGATGTATTACACTTCGTTCCCCCGTTGCTGCGCGTACAGCTCCATGAGTACATGGCAGAATACTTCCGGGTCTTGTGTTTACAGGGGCTTCCGATGATTTAGGGGTCTTTGGCTAGGTTTGCTGTAGTAGCAGCAATCCCGAGACCATCAAGCTCTGAAGTTCTCAGAACTGCATGTAGCGCGGTTCGCGCGAACGACGTCAGGATTTGTTCTCAGTAGCGAGATGTAGAGGAGAACCGTATGCTTGCCATATCCGCCACGGAAATATTTATTGAAAGGCAACGACTCGAGCCAACAAGTTGTTCCACCAGATCACTCATATCCTTAGACAAAGCTTCTGAAATTCTACAGATGTCTACATTCGGCCAGTTTCATCGCAAGAACGAAACAACAACAACAAGTCATTTTCACAAATCATACAACCGAAAGCTTCTTAGAACCCATTGAAACCCACCGCGTATACTCTCAAATACTTGGATCCTAATTTAACGGAACCCTAAACCCTAAAACCCTGAAGCCCTAAACCCTAAAACCTGAACTGCAAACCCCAAACCCTACAACCCTAAAACCCTAAAGCCCTAAACTCTATAAACCCTAAGCCATACTTTCTCAAATCAGAACCCTGAACTCCCGTGCTGCACCGACGTCACAAGGCCAAATAGCCCCATAAAGCCCTTGGAGTGTGGGGTGTAGGGGCGTCTGGAATCTTCGCTTTGGAGTTTAAAGCAGTGGCCTTCATAATTGGAGTAGGGTTTTGGGGTTCATTATAGTATACTTCGAATAAGGCGCCCCCCAAAAATAGTATAGGTAATGAGAGGCCCCTATATTAGGGGTATGGGCTTCAAGGTTTAAGGTGCGACGCCATTTTGCAAACCTATCACACCCTATTAGACTCCAGTTCTTCATCACAGACAAAGGTTCTTTTCTCTCTGAGTTGGGTTTAGGGTTAAGGGCTAAGGGTTTAGGGTCTTCATCACAGACGAAGATTCTCTTCTATATGAGTTAGCTTTCGCAAAGGGAACACGCCCAACAAACAGGGGAAACATGGATGATGCTATAGTGAAGTAGGAATTACTAGTGCGCTAAACCCTGCAAACCAAGTACAAAGAGAGTGTCACACCCTACATACCCAGACCCTGTAGAAAGCCTATGGCGATGAGGTGCAACCCGCCAGCACCCTAAAACCCCAGTAGACCGCTTTACGACAAAAACAGCCTAAAAGGTGAACAATGCAAACATCCGTACGCCCGCTAGATCATGAACCCCACTTCAGGGGATCATGGGACGTGGTAACGAAAATTACAACTAAAATAACTGTAGTTTGTATAGATAACTCCAATTAAGTTACTTAAAACATTACTTACTGCCATGAGCCAAGCCCTAAACCCTAAACCCCCATGAGCCAAGATACCCAAATGGAGGCCAGTCGTTTGGCACAGGCCACCACGCGGAGGTCTCGTGAGGGTTTAGGCATTGCTTCCGGCTTTAGGCTCTAGAGGACGGTTTAGGGTTTAGGGTTTTGGGCTTTAGGGTTTAGGGTGTACCTGGACCCTAAAGAACCTCCCTTTTTAGGGTTCTTTATTATGATTGCCTCATATAAGTCCTTAAACAAGTAGGTTCTTCAGGATTTAGGGTGTAGGGTTTAAGGTTTTATTCTTGGGCTTAGGATTTGCGGGTTTCAAACTTTTTAGGGCGTAGGTTTTCAGCTTTAGGGCTTTGGTGTTTAATGTTTGGGGGTTCGAGCTTTGGGGCTTTTGTTTCGGCATTTAGGGTTTAGGGGTTAGGGTTTAGGGACGGTTAAGGGTTTAGGGTTTAGGGTTGGGCTGGGTGGAAATGCAGGTTTCTCAAGGCTTCTAAGGAGGCCACAGCAGATCAACAGGATCAACAGACTGCGCAAGTAGGGTATAAACAAAGTGACAACCCGGAGCACAGCGTCGAGGTTTGTGAATGTAGGGGCCATAATAATTAGAACAGGGTTTTGGGGCCCATTATACTATAATTACAATGAGGAGCCGCCGAAATAGTATTGGTACTTTTTTAGGCCTGCCTCCTGGACCGCACTTGCCAGATTCTACAAGATGTATTGCTCCAACACCCGTGACACGCAGCACGTCCAACCAAGTGTAGAAGCTTGTCCTCATCGGCGGCGAATGTGCATCATCTTACCCTTATATGAACCCTCATAGTACTACACCCCGAGTTGCGGAATCCTTATAGTAACCCCTGTCATGGAGGCCTCGCAACAAATCTCCTCTTGCCATCTTCTGTTCCATCATTCAGTGATGCTAAACCCAAATGTAGGGGCCTTAACAATCAGAATGGGGTTTTGGGGCCCATTATACTATAAGCATAATAAGGAACCCCCAGAATAGTATTAGTCATGTTTTAGGCCCCTATACTAAATCTGTGTAAAACCCTGAACAAGCTTTGGGATGGCTTCAAAATAGGAGGCTGAACTAATGTCGGGGCCTAAATAATTACGAATAGTCTTTTGGTGTGCCTTATTATGACTATAGCATAAGGGCCCCAAAACCCTGTTCTAATTATTAAGAGCCCCTACATTACTCGAATGGGATTTGTGCTATTCTTGGAAAGTGTTATACTACGGCCAGAAGTACTCATTATTCCTGAAGCCCTGAATACACCTTTCGTACAAGAGCCTATAGCCCCACTTAGAGGTTCATGGGACTTAGTAACTATGCATATACATACGGCAACTAGACTTCTACTTACTTATAACCCCAATTAGGGTACTTATAACCTTACTTACTAAGTCCCATGATCCTCCAAGCACCCTAAACCCTACATCCTAAATCCAGCTGTATCAGGGCTTATGTGGCTTGGAGCTCCCAGGATGTTGTGTGGTATAGACCCCTACAGCACCCGTTACAGGAACCTGTTAAAAGGAACCCTATGAAAGACTCCTGTCCTACATCTAAAGGAATCCTTCAGGAGAACCCCATTATAGACTAGTATAGTATTCTTAGGATTGTTTGCCAAGGTTCGCGACGCAGAAGGCTACAATAACCCTAAACCCTAGACCTAAACACTAAACCCTAGACCCCCTGAACCCTCACCCTGAACCCCAAACACTGAGGCCTAAACTGGCAGGGCTGGTCCCTTTCCCTCAATGTGGGACCCTAAACTACTAAATGGGTATTGTATAGGCATTTTCCTTTCAAAGATCTACCTCCAAGCCCGAAAATCCTACAACCCTGAAGCCTACTCCAAACCCTGCCTTTTAGGAACCCTAAACCCTAAACCTTTTAGGAACCCCTAAACCCGGACCCCTTTCAAGAAACCCTTCAAGCGATCGACTTTTCTGCATCCTCGTGGGGTTCTGCGGAGCTGAGGTGGAGCTGAACTCTGCTCCCAAGGTTTAGGGGTTTCGGGTTTCGCTGTTTAGGGCTTAGGGCTTAGGGTTTTGGGTTTAGGGGCTTATGCCCCTAAACCCTAAAACCTAAACCGGTGTAGGGTTTAGAGCTTAGGGGTTCGGAATCCAAAGCGTGCACGGAATTTCCTCGTCTTTACAGAAGCCAAGACCGAGGCCTGATCTTCGCTTTAGGGGTTTAGGGCTCAGGGCTTTAGAGGTTTAGGGTTTAGGGTTTAGGGATCAGGGCTTTAGGGGTTTAGGGTGTAGGGTTTAGGGATCAGGGCTTTGAGGGTTTAGGGTTTAGGGATCAGGGTTTTAGGGGTTTGGGTTTAGGGTTCAGGGCTACTTGGAGGATCATGGGACTGAGTAAGTAAGGTTATAAGTACCCTAATTGTGGTTATAAGTAATATAAGTGATTATAAGTCTAGTTACCTTATTTATAAGCCTAGTTACTAAGTCCCATGATCGTCCAAGTAGGGATCAGGGCTACTACAAACCCTAAACCTTAAACCCTACTACAAAGGGTACTCCAAGGGTTGCACTCAGGTAGGGTTTAACATAAGCCAGTAATACAGAGGCCTTCTTAAGGGCTTCCATAAAGTTAGGCTAAGGGCTGATACAAGGTACCTGTTGACGAAAAATACCACCTTTTTTTGTGTTCCTTGTTAATCAATTTAACAAAAAAATTCCTTAGAGAGGTTGGGCTTTTGGGCCACAGGCGGGCCAGAGGTAGGGTGTAGGGTGTCTTGGCCTTACTTGGAGGATCATGGGGCTTGGTAAGTAAGGTTATAGGTACCCTAACTGGGGTTATAAGTACTTTTTACGTCTAGTTACCTTATTTATATCCCTAGTTACTAAGTCTCATGAACCTCTAAGTAGGGTTTGGAGCTCAGCTTCAGGCTGTGGGGGCTTGAGGTTTGCAGGGCAAGCTGGAATAGGATTTGGGTTTAGGCTTCAGCATTTAAGGTTGAAGATCTAAGTTTAGGGTTCAGCGTTTAGGATTTTGGGTTTAGGGTTTAGGATTTTGGGTTTAGGGTTTAGGGTCCCTGAGGGTTTAGGATTCAGGGTTTGGG